CAAAGCACAACCCTCCTGAGCACATATATCCATTCCTCCTGCACACACCCACGCACACTCCACCTCCGCGCACCTAACATCCCAACAGGACATCACACCTACCCTCAGCCCTCAACTCCCACTACACACTCCCACCTCCGCCCACCTCTTCAAGACCCACTCTCACCTCTCCCACCGACACACACTCCTTAATGCACACTCTCACACCCACAAGCCTGCCTTCCACCAGTAAGGAGCGGCGCCGAGGGGGGAGAGTCGTGAGGCGCTGGGGGCAGCCAGTTCTGGGAGGTGAGAAGGAGAGCAGCTAGGCGTGCTCACTCGCTAGGCGGTGGGCTAGGCAGCGTCGTGAGAGCTCTGGGGCTCTAGCAGACCGATTTAGCTGGGCTAGCTGGGGCAGGGAGGGCCGGTGGCTGGGGAGAGGGGGCAGAAGAGGTGCGGGGAACGCAGGGGAGCTGGGAGGCAGAGGAGCGCTGTGCCGAGGTGCCCGCCGACACCAAGTAACCGCGCCCGGGCAGTGGCGCTGAATCAAACCCACAAACTGCGGCGATGCTAATCAGGCCGCTTTGTCGAAAAGGGTAAATTCAGGCCGCTTTGTCGAAAAGGGTAAATTCGGGAGCTTCCAGCAACTCGCTGCTTTTGGAAAGAAGGAAGAGGAAACAAAAGGGACTGGAGGGAGGCGAGCAGGGAGGTGGCTAATTTATGCCTGCACTTCAGCAAATGTTTTCGCTGCCATTAGCCTCGTCGACGACCAAGAGCCAGGAAGAAGGGGCGCTGCGGGGACCTGTGGCTTTGAACGCTCTGCGGCAGCTGAGCCGCGCGCTCGGCCCGGGTTTCCGCCCGCCCTGCGGCGACACAGCGTTCCCCAACCATCTCACAGAGGGGACCTGAGACCAGCCCCAGGATGCCAGTCTTCTCCCAGAAAGCCAGGAGGAGGGGCTCTCCGGACCTGTCTCAACAAAATGCGTCCCGCAGTGGTGACATTCCCGTGGCAGCCGGCTAAGCGCAGGTCCAGAGGGGGCAGGAGGTGGCGCCCCAAGCCCAACTTCAGGAGCAAAGCTGAAATGGTGGAGTGTGCGGATTCTCTTGGCGCTCCTGAAACTGCCCTCTCCTTGTACTACTCTAATTACGGTATTTTTAATTTTCCTTTTAAAAAAAGAAACAGAAAGGCACAGAATGCACTTGTTTGGTTTCATTTTGCCTTCACAGCTTTAACGACCCCCTTTGTGGAAGTTGTTTAGGAAACTGGTAAGGAGGAGGAGAGGAGGAGGAGGAGGTCGCCAAGAGAAGCCCAAGCTCTGGGCCTCGCTGCCCATTCTTCCTTCCTACCCACCATCCTGCCTATGCAGCAGTTTCCCTCTACTCCCCCCAGCCCAGTTCCAGCACCACAAGCCCGACGTCCCAGCCCAGGACTGCGCCCCTCCTCCCTAAGCACTCCCCAAAGTCTAGGCAGTCCACAACCCTCCTCAGAAGGCATTTGTGGCTATGAGGAGAGGAGACGAGAGGCACACCCCATCTTAGGTCTGGCAGCCAGGAATAGAGTCACACAGAACCTTTGGTACAGGAGAAACTCAACAACAAAGTGGGGTGAGATGGAGATGAGCCCCTAAAGCTTCAAAATCAAGAATAAAAACACATCCTGTCCGTTACTCTACCAATGGGTGTGGAGCTCTAAAATGCTAACAGGGAAGCCTGGCTTGTTATTTGCCATACCCTGCCCAGGCGGAGCAGCTGCAGAGAAGGAGATGAAGTGCTGGGGGGGTCACAGGGTGGAGCCACCTTTGGGCACCTGCCTGGTCTCAAGGCCTCACCTTGGACCTCTGGCCCTACCCTGCTCCACCTCCCCGGGTCCCTGCTCCCAGCTCAGCCTTCTTTCCCCCTTCCTGCTACACATCCAAGTCTATCCTAGCTACCAAACCAATCTTTAGCTGCCTGCCTCAGGTGGCACCTGATTTCAGAATCTGGACACCAGACCCTCAGTGGCTGGTCCACACCCCAAGGTGCAACAAAGGGCCCAGAGGGCTAGACTGAGGTTTGCAAGGTCTGAGTTCAAATCTCAGCTCTGCCCCTGAATCCCCATGGGACCTTGGGCAAGTCAGGGCCTGTCCCAAAGTGGGTTAGAAAAGAGGGACTTATTTTGTCCTGCAGAATTCCCTGTTTGGGGGGAGGAGGAAGAAGTGAGATTACAGACACAATTCCTCCCCTGCAGTGGAACTTCCACTTTAATGAGAAAACCCATTAAGACAGTCTTGATTTTCCATTTGTTTAAGTGAGATGGGTGTTTGCCATAGTGTGGAGGCCGACAAGAATAGGGCACCACACAGAATCACACACTCTCACTCACACACACATTCATACACATTCACACAGACATACTCTCTCTCACACACACACAGCCTAAGCAGAGACACTAGAAAAACCCTGATTTTAATTGCACTTTAAAAAGAAGGTCCCCTCCTTCTCAACCATCCCAGCCAGAGGCCTAGGAAAGGATCATTAAAAGCTCCAGAAGGACTGAGAGGTAGGGTAGGGGGAGCCTCCCGGGGCCAAGCTCCGGCTTTTGAAGTGGCCTCTCCTAGCCAGTCACTTGCTGACATCTCCTTTTCAGCGTCCGGGGTTTTATGGTTCCGGTTTTGATTTTTCCATCATCAAACTTTATGGCTTAAAAAAACATTCTCAGTGCTGTAAAGAAAGCTTATTCCCATATTCATGGGGGTGGGGGGAGAAAAAGAAGAGAGAAGTGCTTGCTACTTGAGGGGAGCTTGGACACTCCAAGAAAGAGACCCCTCTATGAGGACAAATTTCTCTGCCTCCCCTAAATCTGAGGCTCATGGCAGACAGGCAAATAGGGCTGTGAGGAGAGGGTCCCATGTGGCCTGAATTGGCCTGGCTATTGGACAGGAACCCTGCATACAAGTCTGTGACCTGCTGCCAAGTCGAGGCAAGATTTGGGGAAAGCCAATGCTCTGGCCTTGGTCTTCCCCATCAGTGAAATGAGACTCTTGGAAAAAATGAGGGACCCACTAGGAAACCCAAAACACATTGTGAGAGAAAGATGCTGTGCCTATGGCATTGGAGAAAAAGGGCTGTGTGGGAGGAAGGGGCATATTCTTCCTCCCCAAGGTTTCCAAGGGCCACACATTCTGGGCAAAGGGAGGCTGGGGGCGGACCCACCAGCTGGTCCCTCTACAGGCTGGTGGGCAGGCAGTCCCTGCCATGCTAAGTAATGAGCACAATTCCAACACCGCTCTGCTAGCTAGTGAGAAATCAAAGCCCGGTATTAGAGGCCATTTCTGGCTGGGCACCATTCGTGCCCAAATTTATCAAAGCCCTGGGCCTGGTGTTTCTTCTGGGGAAGGTGGGGGCTGGATGCTTTGTTAAGCAGGAAAGGCAGGCCCCCTCTAGTCCTCCCAGCCGAATCCAGAGAACTCTAGCTAACCAGTCTTGTCTTTCTTCTGCCTACCTGAGCCCTCATCCCCAGTAACCTCAGTATTCATTCCTGATCCCACTGCCCCGCTGGCACAAAAACAGCTTCCAAGACCCAATTCTGCCCATGTACCATTTACAGAGACTTCACCCAACCCTTCAATAACCTCCTCCAAAACACCCTCAAACCAGGAACCAACACCCTAGCACAGCACCTCCCACATCCAATTGAAACCTTTAAAACAAGGCTGGTCATTCAGCAGCCTGCCCCCACCACCCATCATATTACCTTCCAACTTCAAAACACTGCTTTAAATACCAGAGTCTGCCCAAATCATAATTAACTAGGATCAAATGATTGAGTGTCATAACTTTGCAGAACAGGGCTTAAAAAAAAAAAAGCGGGGGATGTGCTAGAACCAAGCCCTCACTCCTGGGCCGTGGGAATCACTAATTCCAGAGTGAGGATCTTTGGTTATTGGGGGGGCGGATGTTAACATAGCAGCGGAAGGTGCTGGGGGCGGGGTGCTGCGTCATCTCGTCCACTTTCTGCATCAGCTTTCCTGCCCCATTCTCAGCCTCAACTCACAGGACTCCGCGCAGAATGTCCCAAGCCCCCCTACCTCCTACCCCCGACCCCCACGCCCCCGGAGCCGAGAAGGCCAGCTACCCAGGCCAGCCTGAGCACCAAAGGGAGGTTGTACCCACCGGCTCCCTGGGAAGATGCAGCCCAGTCAGCGACGCCTCGCCCAGTTCCACGATGGGGGGGGGGGGGGTTAGGGACTTTCTTTTAGGAGCCCACCAACCCCGTTAAGATATCCTGCTCGGTCCAGAGGCGAGTGTGCCTCGTCTGCTCCCAGGACGGGGAGAATGTCAACGACTCATTTAAAGGGAAACTCCACAGGATCCACTACGTATCTCCTCCCCATCATCCAGGAAAAAAAAAAAAAATCCCTCCAGAAATGCGGGCCTGCGATCTAGGGGAAAGCTGTGTGCCTGGGATTCAATCTTTCCCCCTTCAACAGCCAAAGCCCTTCAACCCAGCTTCCTCCGGCTGGCCAAGAAGGACCCGCGCTTCTCGTGCGCCGCAGATGTCTCGCTCTCTCCCTCTAAGTCTGCCGATTCGTGTCCGTGAAGCGCGAAGGAGCCCGAGCGAGCCGGGGCGGGGAGTAGGAAGTTGCCGGCGAACTGCATGCAGCAAGCACACTTCTGGCCCGCGCAGCGACAGCTTTTATTCGACGCCGCAGCCAGGCACTCGGGGAGCCAGGGGTCCCCTGGAAGCAGGTTCTCCCGGAGGGACAGACCCGACCTAGACACCCCGTCCCAGGGAAAAGAAGCTAACCTTTCCAGGAGGGCTCAGGAGCCTTCTGGCTCACTTTGACCCCCAGGCCTGCGCCCTCTGCGAGGTGGCTGCGCCACCGCCCACTTTGGAGCGGCAGAGAAACCTGCCTTCTAACTTGGATGCCCTTGCTGCTTTCCCTGCGCGTACCAGCGCGGCGAAGGACCACCTCAACTTCAGGCAGAGTGAGGCGCAGGAGTCCCCTCGCCCTCCGCCCTCATGCCCAGGCGCTCCCTACCTGCTTGGCTCAGCGTCGGGTGCCAGCAGAGCAGCAGCGCCAGCAGCAGCGCGCCCCGCGCTCCGCTCCGGGCCCACATGCTCCCACCGCCCGGCTCCGGCGCCTCTCCCCCGGGGCTCTCTCCCTGGCCCCAGCCTCGCCGCCGCCGTCTCCGCCGCCGCCGCCTCCTCCTCGCCGTCCTCCCCGGCGCCCGGCCGCGCCAGCCCGTGCCCTCCGTGGGGGCAGCGGCAGCCACGCTGCGCTCAGAGCCGCCCGGCGCTCGGAGCGCGATGGGTGTCCGGCGCCGGCTCTCGAGCCAGGCTCCGGAGCGCCCCTCTCTGCGCTGCTCCGGCTCCGGGGTTCCGAGCGCTCCCCGGTCTCCTGCGCCCTGGCTCCGAAGTTGCGCGGCCGAAGGTGAGTGCGCTCAGCGGCGCTTGCAGCGGCTAGCGCCGCGCGATCCGAGCCCCAGTGCGCGTCTCTCCACGCCTCGCTGCCACCCGCGGCTCTGGCGCCTTCCCCGGCCCCAGCCGCCTGCCACAATGCCGAGCAGTCCCGCCTGCTCGCCTTAGTGAGTTCGCAGGCGGAGAGGTACCGCGCGCGGCGGGGCGGGGCCCGGAGCAGGGGGGGCGGAGCCGGTAGGGGGAACCTGCAGGGGGGTACCCAGCGGCCGACTGGGTGCGGCCTCTGCGGGGCCGGGGGCCCTTCAGGGGGGGTCCTTGCAAGACGCAGCGCCCAGCGCTTTGGAAAACCCGGGCAGTGGAGCAAGGCTGGGAGCGGAGTCTGCACAACCTTGCTCTCCAAAAATGAAGGAAATACAGGTAGTCCCCGATTTACGACCGGATTCTGTTCGGACTCCCGTACTTGTTGCCTTCTAGTTGATTCGGACTCATAGCGCCCCTATACGACAGGGTAGAACCGCCCCATAGGGTTTCCAAGGAGCAGGAGCGGCTGGCGGATTTGATTTGAACTGCTGACCTTTTGGTTAGCAGCCAAGCTCTTAACCACTGTGCCACCAGGGCTCCCCGTTCGGACTACTCTGTAGTAAATCGGTTTGAGGTAAGTCGAATACCGCTTTTTGTTTTTTTAATTGCCTTTTTTCCCCCCAATATCTTTATATAAATTCCATCTTTGAACATGTGCGAATGAACATCTGGGAATGATAACAGCAAATTATGAGTTGCAAAATTGTATGTAGTACATATTACTAAGGATTTAAAAAAAAAAAAAAAACTGTTGCCGTGGAGTCGATTAGGACTCATAGCGACCCTGTTAAGATGTATTTTTTTAAAAGGTCATAGGTGCAGTTACTTGTAACTCGAATACATCGTAAGTCGGGGACTATCTGTACATCTTTGCACCATCTTTTGATTGAACTATGTCAGCCCTCTTTACTTGAGGGTAAGACTCTCCCTTTCGGCTTCTTTCTCTGCATTACACCTTATGCCTTCCACATGTGGGTTTCTTGCCACAAAACGACTCCCTAAATGAGAAAAATCTCAAACATTCAGGTTCAAGTTAAGCTGGGGTTAACAGCTATGTGAATTTGGGCATAGCTTTGGATCACCCCGATTGGCTCTACAAGTCTGTATGATCTTGGGCCGAGCTGTTTGCCAGGCCCTCTGTGAGCCCCCTCTGGCACCCAGATTCCTCCTCCCTCCCGTCCCCCAGGTTACAGTAGGGCAAAGGGGACAGGGCAGGCACTTTTGGCTCTAATCTAAACAGACCCAGTGTGAACTTAGACTCTGCCCCTTGTCTCCTGTGTGACTTAGAACAATTTACTTAGCCATTCTGATGTTCCCTGCACTCTCATCTGTAAAATGGAGAATAATGATAATAACTATTTCATAAGGAGTTGTAGTATTGAATGAAAAAAATATGTGTGGAAATGGCTTCACAAATGCCAACAGTATGTCTTTCTAAGATTGTCCCCTCAGCCTGTCTGATTCCTTGGGGAAGTCCTAACCACCGAGGGTGGCCCAAGGAGCATGTGGAGACAGATGGATAGTGTCTTGGAACTGAAACCCAGAGACATCAGAAGGGGTGGATACGCTCATATTGATCCACTAGAGACCTTACTGTGTGCCAGGCACTGGGTTAGGCACTTTGTATGCATCACCTCAGATAGTCCTTACAATACCCCATTTGTATTCCTATTTTACAGATGAGGGAACTGAGGCACCGAGATGTAAAGCCATTTGCCCAAGATCAGACAACTCTGAGTGAGTGAGTGAGTGGGAGAAGGGGGCAGGGGAGATGGGATCTGAAAGAAACCCTCTGATCTGAGCTGGGGCAGGACTGGGTTGTAAGCAGGAGCCTCTCCTATTCCTGCTCCTCCACAGGGGAGGGAGCCTTCTGCCAGTAGCCAGCAGGAATTCCCTTCCCCCCAGCCCTGATCTGTTTACTACTTGGGATCTTCCTTTTTCCAGAGCTAGTATCTGGAATCACCCCTGAGATACAGATGTAGTGGGCTGCTTCAGGGAGGGATGAAGGAAGCCAGACAGAGGTCTAGCCAGGCCCAGGAGCCAGTGGGGGATGGGCTGCAATAGAGCCAAATTGTCCCAAACCACTGTTGGAGGGGAAGGGGCTTGGGAACCAGACCTGCAGGCTGGACGGGGAATCTTGGTTGGTAGGGGCAGGGAATCGGCAAAGACTTGTCCCAGCTGTTTCCCCAGAGAACTGGAGATAAAGGCAGGGACTGCCCAGTCTCCTCTACCTCTGATAACCCCCACAGAATGGGGTCTGGAGCATCTGGGGGAGGTGGTAGAAGTAATCAGTCAACCCTCCCAGCCCTCTGTAGCTGGGCACCCAGGATTAGGAGGGTGGACATGGGTGGAGTGAGTGGGACTCCTTGGGGAAGGACTTTGCCAACGTGAAGGTCCCTGCGGGCAAAGGTGGATAGGCTGTTTCCAGCTTGGCCTGGGGCAGCACAGGCAGGGCAGTGGGTCAGAGAGTCAATAGCTGCTCACACCCAGACAGCTCCACCCATCTGTGTAACTTCAAGAACGCAAGTGAGTGCTCTCTCTCAGTCTCTCTGTCTCTGATCTCTGAAGATCAGAAGGCCAGCAGGATATGGAGATTTTTCAAAAAAGTTCCAATCCTTGGGACTTTGCTGTTAGGCAGGAATTGCACCAGGCAGCCCTTCTAGTCCAAGAGTCAGATATCATGGCTTTGCTTGATTCCTGGCTGGAGAGGAGGGGATGGGGGTGGGGGGAGGCAAAAGAAAGGTGGTCATTCCCCCTCTCTTTCTGCCAGTCCCTGCCCCACTTCTCTCCTCTGCCTAAAAACTCTCTCAACTCTTGAAATATGTCCATGGCAGGTACTGGGACCTGCTTTCCCCCTACGACTCCAGCATCAAGGTAGGGGACTCCCCCCATAACTCTCCTGCTACCCCTCCCCCTATCCAAGTCTGCCTCTCAGAGACTGCTCAGAGAATGTGCCCTCTCCAGCCATCTGCAGTTAAGCAACGCCAGCCCGTGCAGATGTGGTTCCTCTCCAGCTCGGGCATTTAGAGGCTGGCCCCTAGCTGGCGCCAGGGAGGGTGGTTCAGAGGGAGTCAGTCTACCCTGAGCTGATGCCTTCTCCCCAGGATAAGTGAAAAGTGGGCCAGGCCCTGCCCTTGGGATGGCACATTGGAGTAGCTGGATTAAGATTAACCAGGGTGTTCCCAAACAGAGTACCATCAGACACAGCAAAGGGGTCCTGCCGTGAGTTAAGAAAAGGAATTAGGTTGTCAGCTGCTTAAAGGCAGGACCCTGTGTTTCCTGTTCAGCATTATATATCCAGCACCTAAGACAGTTTCTGGTACATAATAGGAATGTAATCAATATTGGTTTAGTGGACACATTAATGAGGTCGGGGAGAGAGGGGTATTGGTCAAAGGGCCTACAACCCTTGCCCATTGAGCCCTGGAAGGAGTGTCCCACCTCTCCTCCATTTCCTGGGGTTGGGGGTGGGGGCTGAGCTGGATGTGGGGAGCAGTTTGTGTAAGTAGTTGTCATGGAGTCAACTCGGACTCATGGCAACCCCATGTGTGTCAGAGTAGAACTGGGGGCTTTCCATGGTTGATTTTTCAGAAGTAGATATCCAGGCCTTTTCTTCTGATATGGCTGTGGGTGGACTCGAACCACCAACGTTTCGGTTAGCAGCCGTTTGCACCACCAGGGACTCCTTATAAAATATAGCTGCTTTGAAATCAGTCCCAGAGCTAGCTCTGACCCTTACCGAGGGCTGCAGATGCCTCCATGGGCTACCCTTCCCCCTTCCTGTTTCCCCCAAACCAGATGAGGGTAGGAGTCCTGAGTTAAGCTGACTCGGGGCTGCTCTTACCTGCGGGGAGACATTGGGCAGGTTACTCAACCTCTCCAAGCATTAGTTTCCTCGACTGTAAAATAGAAGTAATAATAACTACTTCATAAGATTAAGAAGAATACACATAAAGCCCCTAGTCTGGTTGAATAAAAGCTACTTGTTTTATAGTGATGATGATTTACAAGCAGCGGCTGGGGTGCTCTGCAGGGAGTGGCGGCGTTGGATCAGGCGCCTCCTAAGCCGGCACCTCCCTTTCCGACCGGTGCCTTTGTGCTCGCAGGCGCCACTAGGCGGCGCGCTGTAGCTTAAGCCTCCTCCGCGGTAGCTTCTGTCTCCTCCAAGACGGCGGGTCTGGATGGGAGAAGCGCCTCTGGCCACACCCTGCCTGAGAGAGGTCCTTGGGTGGGAATGAGTTCCTAATCCCTCCCTAGCCTCACCCAGTCCCGGACAGACCCAAATGCCTGGGCCCTGGAGAGGAGAGGAGCCTAAGGTTGAAGTCTTTAACGCTTTACCATAGTAACAGTATTACTGTAGTTAATGCTGAGCGCTTCGTATGTGCCAGGTACTGTTCTAAATCCTTTATATGCTGACAACAGCCTTATGAGCTACGTCCTGTTATTACCCCCATTTAACAGATGAGGGAACTGAGGCACAGAGCCCAAGGTCGTACACAGCTGGTAAACAGTGCAGTGGAGATTCAAATCCAGACAGAATGGATCTCAAGCTTGTACTCTTTTTTTTTTTTTTTAAATTGGGGTAGAATTCAGGTAACATTTTAACTATTTTAAAGTATACAATTCAGTGGTTTCTAGCACATTCACAAGGTTGTGCAACCATCACCATTATCTAATTCCAGAGCATTTTCATCACCCCAGAAGAAAATCCCCTACCCATTAAGCAGTCACTCCCCATGCCCTCCTCCTTTCAGCCGCTGGCAACCACTAATCCACTTTCTGTCTGTGTATCTATTCTGGATATTTCATATAAAGGGAATCTTACAATATGTGGCCTTTTATGTCAGGCTTCCTTCACTTAGCCTAATGTTTACAAGGTGCAGCATGTTGGGGCATATATCAGCACTTCATTCCTTACTGTGGCTGAATACTATTCCGTTGTATGGATATACTACGTTTTGTTGACCCATTCATCAGTGGATGGACGTTTGGGTTGTTTCTACTTACGGCTATTATAAATAATGCTGCTATTAACATTTGTGTACATATTTTTATGTGAACATGTTTTCAATTTTCTTGGGTATATTTAGCAGG